TGGAACTTTGTTATCCATCAATGTTGCTTGTGTTCGAACAATATGCGTCGTTAAAATGAATGATTATTGAGTTGTTTTCTTTATGCCGATTTGTTTACTGACATCGTCGTACGAACTTTCATTATGGTTGTGCAATTTTCTATTTACATAGAGAACGAAAACAAGTATAGCACGACGAATTCAACGACCAATCAAATTCGTTAAAGTAACTATGCACATACAATTTTTTTTCACCAAATTTTCATAGGAGTCTCTGGCGTATGTTCCTCTTGAATTTATTTGAGACCTCTTTCAAGTTTTTCTTTCTCTCCGTTTCGTTGTGACTTTCCACACAAAAGCAAAGAGAAAAAATATAAGCACATGTTTTAGAGGAGAATAGAACAAATCGACGAAACAGAAGAGAAAGACATCGGTAAAAAATATCTAAACATTATGATTTTGTTATTCTTATACAAGATAAATACCAAACAAGGAATACAGTAGGAGATTAAAAACTAGGTTGTCACAACTTGTCGCGGGACTCGGTGTGACAGGGATATTGGTATACGTGTAGTTTTGCTCCTCATCCTCATCAGAACACGAATAAGCACACCCATACCCACACTCCGTGCCCACACCCACATCTAATCAAACGATTACCGCCGATCTCTACTCTCAACAACTGCAACAATTGCATGAAGTTCTACTTGAAAAGCAACCGGACTTGATGAATGAAAAAGACGTCATCCTTCTTCATGAAAATGCAACACCTCATGTAGTAAAGTTAACTCAGCAAACAATCGAACAGTTCGGATGGGAAGTTCTTCCGCACCCGCCGTGGTCATCAGACCTTGCGCCATCCGATTATCATCTGTTCCCCTCTCTTCGAAACTATCTTCGTAACAGGCACTTGAATACTTCGATACGCTAAAATCTGACCTCAGTGCCCTTCTAGAATCGCAACCAGCTAGTTTCCACAAACGTGGAATTGAACTATTGCCAACTAGATAGACGAAAGTTGTCTAAAACAATGGTGATTATATTGTTGACTAATGCTTCATATCTTTGTTGAAAAATAAAAAACCGTGCAGAACTTATGTAACAACGGGATACTTATCAGATCCGATCCGTTTTAGAACGGAATACGACGTCATCCGATACCGGATCCAATCGTTTTCGGTAAGATCCGCAGGCAGGATTGGTTATCCTGGGTACACTGGCGATAGGAATACCATGATTACTTGTACTAGTCTTAAATTAAGATGTAGAATTTGTTTAGTTCCATCCAACTGATAATGAAAGTTTTGTATATACTTCTTTTATAAATAAAATTAATTTAGGTATTTGTGATGTGGAGTGCCTTATGCCAGAAGGTTCTCGTGATGTATATGTTCCCTAGACTGAAAGTATAGGGTCTAGAAACGGAAATTCGCCTGTGTCTGTCTGTCTGTCTGTCTGTCTGTCTGTCTGTCTGTAACACGTATGGTTACCATATGGTAACTATGTGATCGTTAAAATAAAAATAAATATATATTTCGAATGGCGCGCAAAGCCAATAAAATAAGATTTTCTTTCTATTCCCAAGACTGAAAGGCTAGCGTCTAGAAACCGAAATTCACCTGTGTCTGTCTGTCTGTCTGTCCGTCTGTCTGTCGGTAACGCAGTCAAAATGGCCATTTTTTTGGCACACGTGACCATTTTTATGGCATAAACGACCACTTTTTTGGCACAAGTGACCATTTTCGTGCCACAAGTGGCCATTTTTTTGGCACAAGTGACCATTTTTTTGGCACAAACGGCCATTTTTTTACTAAAATTAACTAGGTAACTATGGTACAAATGAGCATGTAACTATGGCACAAACGGTCATTTTTTTGGTAGAAACGACCACATAACTATGGCACAAGTGACCATATAGCAATCATGGTACAAACAACTATTCCGGTAACTATGGTACAAATGACCATCTAAAGACTGATGTAAATGAACCCATAATAATCATGGGTAAAATGTCAATGGAATAACTATAATTTGGGTAGTGATGTAAAACGGCTTACTTACACAAGCATTTAATTAGTGAGAGTCAGACCAAATGAGCAGTATGGATTTAAAGAAATCGTTTAAATTATTCATTATTGTAAGATTGATTGTGCAATGTTGTATCAATGAATATCTAATTTATTAATAGTTTAGAATTAATGCGTGAATTTAAGCATAAAATATTGATTAATAAAACTCAAATTTTATGAATAATATAATTCATATTTTTGTACGTACAAATAGCGCCAATATAATTATAAAAAAATCGTATTGTTGTCTAATCTTATTAGGCGCTATTTATATTCATAAAAGCAAAAAAAAAAATAAAACAAAAACGATAAAAAAAAATTAAATTTGTAAATGCATCATCTTTACTTAGAGTCAGAATTCTCCAAATTAAGTTTTCTGGTCGCCTAAGGTATACTGGTCATATTATCAATGTTGCGTATTACTTTTTTAATGTAGCTTTTTATGCTATTCCTTCCGTACATGTATTCTATCAGTCTAGGGCTAAGTGAATCGCTTGACGATGAACGTTACTTGTTTTTTTTTTGTGAATAGTAATGATAAATGTGCTGTGGAATATTATGTATCAGTTGTTAAAGATCTTGCACCACATGATGTTGTTTCATAGAGAATGTTACTTCAATTTTATTAAGGATGGTTTGTTGCCTTTTTACATCGATTAATATATGTTTATATAGCCTTAGTTTCTATTTAATAGTGGTATTGAGAAAGATAAAGATAATATTTTTCTTCAATTAACTTATTTAGATTTGAAATTATTGCATGAACGTTTATCAAATATTAGTGGAACAGCAATAATATCTTCCAGTGTTCATGCCACTAAATAACCAATATCTATTTCACCAACCGTTCATGATAATACAGATGCTGTACAATCGAATTATAAAAATCAAGTTATAGAAGAAAAGAAAATGGAAAGGGTGTTGTTGTTGTTAAAGATTTACAACTAAGATTGAAAGGAAAAGCGTAATAGAAAACGGATCCATTTCAACATATACATAGACTGAGAATCTTAGTATTACATTATTTAAATTATGCTTACTTTTATAGCAATGAGCAGATGAATATGATTATTCAAATTTGGAAAAAAATCCAACCACTCATCATATAGGGTACCAGTTAAGTTGGTCATCCTCAAATATTTTCAAGCCAGAAAATTTAGCGTAAGATAGAGTAATCTTCAATTTTCTACTAAAAATGCTATTTTTTCTGTATTCCTGAAACTTTTTGTTTTTCTTAAATTTCTTGACTCAAAGAAAGTCGAAAATATTAAAAACCATATGTTGTTAATCAGCGCTGTGAGTTCTATCAATTGATTTATGATTTAGCTAAATCTAATTTTTGTTCGATTTTTGCATTAGTTGATCTTGCATAAGCACTAGTAGTTTTGACAAAAGCCAACGTGTATTTTAATTGACAATGTTTCTTATGTCAATGTTTTTTTCGTTAATTTCTTGTGCTTTTAGTATCACGTGTATTTGTGTACTTGAGTTATTTCGTAGTAAAAACTTAATGCATACCATCAATGATAATGTAATTACTCTTGTTACTATTAATTTGTTTAAGAGTGAATTTCTTTGTCAAAAATTAGTTGATGCATTATTGAAGAACGCCGAAGGGCGACCAAAAGAAAGATGAAAGAAAACAAAAATAGAAACTCAATCCTTCGTTTTTTTTTTCTGTAAATATGTCAATATTTCTATTCTTATGTTTAGTTGACGTAGTAAGTTCATGATAGTTGTAGAATTTATTGTAATCCAACGATAACTGTAACAATACAGATACAGGCATATGACGGTGTTGACAAGTTCTATCAATTATCTTTTTCTATTTTTAGGAAATAGACATTTCTATGTGAACGTTTTCCTTGTTGACATTTTACTTTATGGAAGATAATCAAAATGAGTCCCTTATTTCTAGAAAAACACCTAACTGTCAAGCATATTGTTGTTTACTTCTGTAATTTTTAAATCTATAATAAAATTCGTATTTATTTCAAAATTACTATCATTTTATAAAAGAATTTAGATAAATATGGCATCATTAATGTACAATAATTCATCTATATTATCATCTTCAAATGAATTTAAAAATGAAATCAAACGATATCTAGCAAATCTTAATTATACTCTTTCATTTGTTCAAGCATTCATTGTTTTATTTGGTGTACTTGGAAATCTTATTGCATTAGTTGTCATTAATAGGAAACCATTAAGAAATACATCATCGACTGTATTTATAACATATATGGCAATATTTGATAGTTCTGTTCTACTTTTACATGGTGCTAATTTAGCAGCATCGAGTCAAAATCCTTTTATTCATTGTTCATTAACTTATCTTACAGATTTAGCAACATTTTGCGCTAATTGGATTCTTGTTATTATAGCATTAGGTAATTATTTTAATTTTAAATAATAGATCAAATTTAAATATCATGGTTTTTTTTTCTTTAGAACGTTGTGTTGCTGTTCGTTCACCATTTCTTGCTAAACGTTTTTGTACTGTAAATTCAGCTCGTCGCTCAATGTATATCTTCTTAATGATTTCAATCATAATTTTTTCTGCAGAATTTCCATTTATGTATGATATAAAACAGGCTTTTAAAAATAAAAGGTGTCTTATACGTTCAAATCTTGTATTAATTCTTCGTATATATCAAGCAGTATTATTTTATGCTATACCGGATTTACTTCTCCTATCAAATTTATTCACTATTTATACATTATGTCGACGAACACAACGACTTTCATCATCTTGTTTAAAAGATGAACAAAAATTAGATATTCGTATAAATGATATTAATTCAAATCGTAAACAACGACAATTAACAATTATGCTTGTTACAGTTAGTTTATCATTTTATTTATTTACAACACCAGCAATGGTCATGTTTATAAGTGAATATCATCCATCACAACATAAGGATATAAATAAAATAAAACAAAATATTTTCTTTTCACAAATTTCTGTTATATTATTACAATTAAATAATGCAGTAAGTTAATTTAATAAATAGAATATTTTATTATTATTTTTTCTTTTATCATAGACAAATTTTGTATTTTATTGTGTTGCTAGTCAACGTTTTCGTCCAGCAACCATACAAACATTTTATGATTATTCAGAACGATTAAAAATTTTTTATCATCGATATATTTTATTCAATAAACAATATGAGCCCATACTTTCGTATCGACATCGCTTAAGTTATTTTGGACAAACAACAATAGCCCTTCGCAGTACATATTCTCCATATTTTAAACGAGGTAGATATAGAGCATCAACAACATGAAAATCATTTTTGATATTGATGCAGGAAAAATAAAAAAAAGGAGTTCAAATACTAAAACACAATATAAAGAAATCTAATTTGTAATCTGCCAAAACATAACGTTGATGACATATCTGACTAGTAGAAATAATCGATTTCATATTGTCTTATAATAATAGTGACAAGTGTTCTATGTATTCGTTCCATTCGTAAATTTGTTTTTTTTACTAAAGAAAAAAAATAAAATAAAATAAAACAAGATAAATGTTTTATTCATGTATGCTTTATTGTATTTCATGTTTTTGTTTACTAAATAAAAATTATCTATAGTTTGTTTGCTATAACTGGTACATTAATTGTTAATATGGCTTTCAATATTACTTATATAAGTATTAACCAATCGAAAACTTATGGTTATATCAGTTTATTAAGTGATGATGAAATGTTAGACGCAGCTTTAATACTAGGCGCATCACTCAGAAACACATTGACTTCATATCCATTAAATATACTTACGTTGTCTGATGTAAGCATGAATGCTCGAAAACAGTTATTAAATTCAAATAGCGGTATCATTTCTCTAATTGATGTAAAACAATTAGAATATCGTTTTAATACTTTATCAATGAATACATCTCGAAATATAGTGTGTGGATTCAATAAATTACATTTGTGGAATCTTGTTAATTACACTAAATTGATTTATTTGGATATTGATACGATGGTTGTTCAAAATATAGATGATTTATTCGAAAAACCAGAATTAAATGCTGCACTTGATATAGGTGGAGTTGTGAATACAGGTGTGTTCGTCGCTCAATCTTTATTGAAAACTTTTAACGACATGATGTTGTTGTATAAAATGTCATCATCAAGTTACAATCGCGATGATCAACGTTTTATCAATTGGTACTTCACAAATAGAAGTAACAGTAAAATTCATTATTTACCTCTGGAATATAATCGTATCAGCTGGCATAAAGATTATCAAATATGGGATGAAGTACAAGCACAAGCTAAAATAATTCATTTTGCTGGCAAGAGTAAACCATGGTCATTTTTTTATATGCCACATAGAAACTGGGAACGAAATATAGAAGGACAATTATTTTATAAATGGAAACAGATGTTTGAAATTGTTCAAAAAACAATCAAACAGAAAGGTTAGTAT